GCGCCCCCCCCCCCCTGTCCCTGCCCCTGCCGCCTGGCCTAGGGACACAGGAGAGGAGTGGCGTCGCCTGCTCGCTGCCCCTGCACTGCCTTGGACACAAGGAGCAAACAGGGAGAGCAGGCTACCAGCCTGCTCCTCTCAGCCCTCACTCTGCAGCCTGGAGCTGGAGCGAACTGGGACGGCGTAGCCCTGGGTCGCTGCCCCCACTGCGGCTGTGGGGTGAATGTGGTGAAGCCACAGCAGGGCAGTTAGCGCCCGAACGTCCATTCACTGAGTAGCTCCATTTAGCGGGGCCCACAGCACCCCCCACTGGACGAGGGACGTAAAATCTCATGTCCTTGGTTAACCCGTGAAAGGGGGGTGGGGCAGGGGAACCCCCCCTTCTTCCCCCATTTAACCGAAACCGGTGGCCTGGCTGTCCCATTCTCCCCCTCCCCATGGCTGGTGGGCCGTGGCCTGGCTGTCCCATTCCCCCCCATGGCTGGTGGGCCGTGGCCTGGCTGTCCCATTCCCCCCCATGGCTGGTGGGCCGTGGCCTGGCTGTCCCATTCCCCCCCATGGCTGGTGGGCCGTGGCCTGGCTGTCCCATTCCCCCCCATGGCTGGTGGGCCGTGGCCTGGCTGTCCCATTCCCCCCCATGGCTGGTGGGCCGTGGCCTGGCTGTCCCATTCCCCCCCATGGCTGGTGGGCCGTGGCCTGGCTGTCCCATTCCCCCCCATGGCTGGTGGGCCGTGGCCTGGCTGTCCCATTCCCCCCCATGGCTGGTGGGCCGTGGCCTGGCTGTCCCATTCCCCCCCATGGCTGGTGGGCCGTGGCCTGGCTGTCCCATTCCCCCCCATGGCTGGTGGGCCGTGGCCTGGCTGTCCCATTCCCCCCCATGGCTGGTGGGCCGTGGCCTGGCTGTCCCATTCCCCCCCATGGCTGGTGGGCCGTGGCCTGGCTGTCCCATTCCCCCCCATGGCTGGTGGGCCGTGGCCTGGCTGTCCCATTCCCCCCCATGGCTGGTGGGCCGTGGCCTGGCTGTCCCATTCCCCCCCATGGCTGGTGGGCCGTGGCCTGGCTGTCCCATTCCCCCCCATGGCTGGTGGGCCGTGGCCTGGCTGTCCCATTCCCCCCCATGGCTGGTGGGCCGTGGCCTGGCTGTCCCATTCCCCCCCATGGCTGGTGGGCCGTGGCCTGGCTGTCCCATTCTCCCCCTCCCCATGGCTGGTGGGCCGTGGCCTGGCTGTCCCATTCCCCCCCATGGCTGGTGGGCCGTGGCCTGGCTGTCCCATTTCCCCCCTCCCCATGGCTGGTGGGCCGTGGCCTGGCTGTCCCATTTCCCCCCTCCCCATGGCTGGTGGGCCGTGGCCTGGCTGTCCCATTTCCCCCCTCCCCATGGCTGGTGGGCCGTGGCCTGGCTGTCCCATTTCCCCCCTCCCCATGGCTGGTGGGCCGTGGCCTGGCTGTCCCATTTCCCCCCTCCCCATGGCTGGTGGGCCGTGGCCTGGCTGTCCCATTTCCCCCCTCCCCATGGCTGGTGGGCCGTGGCCTGGCTGTCCCATTTCCCCCCTCCCCATGGCTGGTGGGCCGTGGCCTGGCTGTCCCATTTCCCCCCTCCCCATGGCTGGTGGGCCGTGGCCTGGCTGTCCCATTTCCCCCCTCCCCATGGCTGGTGGGCCGTGGCCTGGCTGTCCCATTTCCCCCCTCCCCATGGCTGGTGGGCCGTGGCCTGGCTGTCCCATTTCCCCCCTCCCCATGGCTGGTGGGCCGTGGCCTGGCTGTCCCATTTCCCCCCTCCCCATGGCTGGTGGGCCGTGGCCTGGCTGTCCCATTTCCCCCCTCCCCATGGCTGGTGGGCCGTGGCCTGGCTGTCCCATTTCCCCCCTCCCCATGGCTGGTGGGCCGTGGCCTGGCTGTCCCATTTCCCCCCTCCCCATGGCTGGTGGGCCGTGGCCTGGCTGTCCCATTTCCCCCCTCCCCATGGCTGGTGGGCCGTGGCCTGGCTGTCCCATTTCCCCCCTCCCCATGGCTGGTGGGCCGTGGCCTGGCTGTCCCATTTCCCCCCTCCCCATGGCTGGTGGGCCGTGGCCTGGCTGTCCCATTTCCCCCCTCCCCATGGCTGGTGGGCCGTGGCCTGGCTGTCCCATTTCCCCCCTCCCCATGGCTGGTGGGCCGTGGCCTGGCTGTCCCATTTCCCCCCTCCCCATGGCTGGTGGGCCGTGGCCTGGCTGTCCCATTTCCCCCCTCCCCATGGCTGGTGGGCCGTGGCCTGGCTGTCCCATTTCCCCCCTCCCCATGGCTGGTGGGCCGTGGCCTGGCTGTCCCATTTCCCCCCTCCCCATGGCTGGTGGGCCGTGGCCTGGCTGTCCCATTTCCCCCCTCCCCATGGCTGGTGGGCCGTGGCCTGGCTGTCCCATTTCCCCCCTCCCCATGGCTGGTGGGCCGTGGCCTGGCTGTCCCATTTCCCCCCTCCCCATGGCTGGTGGGCCGTGGCCTGGCTGTCCCATTTCCCCCCTCCCCATGGCTGGTGGGCCGTGGCCTGGCTGTCCCATTTCCCCCCTCCCCATGGCTGGTGGGCCGTGGCCTGGCTGTCCCATTTCCCCCCTCCCCACCTGCCGCTGTGCTACACGGGCCCCTGCGGGACTCGTCCTTGCCCCGGCAGTTCTGTTCAGAGCGGGACGCTAACGAACGCTGCACGTGAGCCTTCCCCTCCTGCAGAGGTGCTGGCTGCGCCCTCAGGCCGTGCTGCCCTGTGCTGGCCACGTGAGCCTTCCCCTCCTGCAGAGGTGCTGGCTGCGCCCTCAGGCCGTGCTGCCCTGTGCTGGCCACGTGAGCCTTCCCCTCCTGCAGAGGTGCTGGCTGCGCCCTCAGGCCGTGCTGCCCTGTGCTGGCCACGTGAGCCTTCCCCTCCTGCAGAGGTGCTGGCTGCGCCCTCAGGCCGTGCTGCCCTGTGCTGGCCACGTGAGCCTTCCCCTCCTGCAGAGGTGCTGGCTGCGCCCTCAGGCCGTGCTGCCCTGTGCTGGCCACGTGAGCCTTCCCCTCCTGCAGAGGTGCTGGCTGCGCCCTCAGGCCGTGCTGCCCTGTGCTGGCCACGTGAGCCTTCCCCTCCTGCAGAGGTGCTGGCTGCGCCCTCAGGCCGTGCTGCCCTGTGCTGGCCACGTGAGCCTTCCCCTCCTGCAGAGGTGCTGGCTGCGCCCTCAGGCCGTGCTGCCCTGTGCTGGCCACGTGAGCCTTCCCCTCCTGCAGAGGTGCTGGCTGCGCCCTCAGGCCGTGCTGCCCTGTGCTGGCCACGTGAGCCTTCCCCTCCTGCAGAGGTGCTGGCTGCGCCCTCAGGCCGTGCTGCCCTGTGCTGGCCACGTGAGCCTTCCCCTCCTGCAGAGGTGCTGGCTGCGCCCTCAGGCCGTGCTGCCCTGTGCTGGCCACGTGAGCCTTCCCCTCCTGCAGAGGTGCTGGCTGCGCCCTCAGGCCGTGCTGCCCTGTGCTGGCCACGTGAGCCTTCCCCTCCTGCAGAGGTGCTGGCTGCGCCCTCAGGCCGTGCTGCCCTGTGCTGGCCACGTGAGCCTTCCCCTCCTGCAGAGGTGCTGGCTGCGCCCTCAGGCCGTGCTGCCCTGTGCTGGCCACGTGAGCCTTCCCCTCCTGCAGAGGTGCTGGCTGCGCCCTCAGGCCGTGCTGCCCTGTGCTGGCCACGTGAGCCTTCCCCTCCTGCAGAGGTGCTGGCTGCGCCCTCAGGCCGTGCTGCCCTGTGCTGGCCACGTGAGCCTTCCCCTCCTGCAGAGGTGCTGGCTGCGCCCTCAGGCCGTGCTGCCCTGTGCTGGCCACGTGAGCCTTCCCCTCCTGCAGAGGTGCTGGCTGCGCCCTCAGGCCGTGCTGCCCTGTGCTGGCCACGTGAGCCTTCCCCTCCTGCAGAGGTGCTGGCTGCGCCCTCAGGCCGTGCTGCCCTGTGCTGGCCACGTGAGCCTTCCCCTCCTGCAGAGGTGCTGGCTGCGCCCTCAGGCCGTGCTGCCCTGTGCTGGCCACGTGAGCCTTCCCCTCCTGCAGAGGTGCTGGCTGCGCCCTCAGGCCGTGCTGCCCTGTGCTGGCCACGTGAGCCTTCCCCTCCTGCAGAGGTGCTGGCTGCGCCCTCAGGCCGTGCTGCCCTGTGCTGGCCACGTGAGCCTTCCCCTCCTGCAGAGGTGCTGGCTGCGCCCTCAGGCCGTGCTGCCCTGTGCTGGCCACGTGAGCCTTCCCCTCCTGCAGAGGTGCTGGCTGCGCCCTCAGGCCGTGCTGCCCTGTGCTGGCCACGTGAGCCTTCCCCTCCTGCAGAGGTGCTGGCTGCGCCCTCAGGCCGTGCTGCCCTGTGCTGGCCACGTGAGCCTTCCCCTCCTGCAGAGGTGCTGGCTGCGCCCTCAGGCCGTGCTGCCCTGTGCTGGCCACGTGAGCCTTCCCCTCCTGCAGAGGTGCTGGCTGCGCCCTCAGGCCGTGCTGCCCTGTGCTGGCCACGTGAGCCTTCCCCTCCTGCAGAGGTGCTGGCTGCGCCCTCAGGCCGTGCTGCCCTGTGCTGGCCACGTGAGCCTTCCCCTCCTGCAGAGGTGCTGGCTGCGCCCTCAGGCCGTGCTGCCCTGTGCTGGCCACGTGAGCCTTCCCCTCCTGCAGAGGTGCTGGCTGCGCCCTCAGGCCGTGCTGCCCTGTGCTGGCCACGTGAGCCTTCCCCTCCTGCAGAGGTGCTGGCTGCGCCCTCAGGCCGTGCTGCCCTGTGCTGGCCACGTGAGCCTTCCCCTCCTGCAGAGGTGCTGGCTGCGCCCTCAGGCCGTGCTGCCCTGTGCTGGCCACGTGAGCCTTCCCCTCCTGCAGAGGTGCTGGCTGCGCCCTCAGGCCGTGCTGCACTGTGCTGGCTCTCACCCGTCCCCGTCTCTCCTCCCAGACGAGGCGGTGTCCCAGAACTGCGGGGTGCTGGTGCACTGCCTCGCCGGCGTGAGCCGCTCCGTGACGGTGACCGTGGCCTACCTCATGCAGCGCCTCAACCTGACTCTCAACGACGCCTACGACCTGGTCAAGCGCAAGAAGGCCGACATCTCGCCCAACTTCAACTTCATGGGGCAGCTCCTGGACTTTGAGAGGGAACTGGGGCTGGCTGAGGGTTCGCCGCGCAGCCCTGGCGCCCCCACTGGGCACGGCCAGACTCCCCCCTCCTTCTTCACACCCCCATCCTCCGAATGTGAGGAAGAGAGTGGCAGCTTCCAACCCTGCCACCCCCCAGGAGCCGCATTGGCTAATCTGGGCATCACCAGGTTGCCGGGGGTGTATGGCTAACCTAGGCCTTGGCAGGACTCCAGAACCCACAGGGATGACACTAGACCTGCCTTTTCTGGGATCGGTGCTCTGGAGACGGGGCTGGACCCTGCAACTCTGGAATGGGGTCTGGAAGCTGCAATTACCGTCCTTGTTTGGATCTTTGGTTCTGGAACTGCAAGGAAGGCAAAATCCAATGAGTACCATGCTGGAGCCGAGAACGCCTCGCTCTGCAGGTGGGAGCTGGAGTGCCATGCCAGGTCTGGAACCTGGCCCTCTAGAACTCTGCTGTATCCGAGCCTTTGTAGGAACTACCTTGTTTGAACGTTTGGTTCTAGAGGTTCACCGAGAAAAATGTTAAGGCAGTAAAGGGTGGGGCTGGAGTATAGAACGTGCCGTGCCTGAATGCTAATGCCAGGCCAGGAATCGGGGCCTCTATTAGCAGCACCCAGAATCGGATTGCTCCAGGACTCCACTTTCCAGATCTGGAACAAGAGTGTGGAACCAACAGTTGCCAGGCGTTCCAAAGCCACAACGAGGCTAGAAATGGATGGAGGCATCTGCACAGCCACGGCGGGAATGTGTCCCCCTCAAACAACTGGCCCTGTGTGATCTAGAGCCAACATGAGCTTCCAGGCCACAGTCGAGATTCTGCAGCTCTAGAAGCAGGTGAATGGATCTCCGTTAGCGAACGCCGGGTCTGGAACCTGTAGCTAGGCTTGGGGATCACTCTACCTAGAACCTTATTGCTTGAGCATTGTCGTTTAAATGCCCATGGGCCAGGCTGAGAACCAGCCTCACTGGACACCAATCTCATTTGGACCATTGGTTCTTGAGCCTTCACGAGGATCATAGTTGTGCCAGAGTCTAGAACCTGCAGCTCTAGAGGTGTGTTGAGTCCTGTCCAGTTCCAGCTCTGGAATCTGGGCCTCTAGAAGAAGGATCCAGAGTTCATACTCCCCTGCCTTGCTTGGTTCTAGAGCATCGGGCTACCATGCTGGAGCCTAGAACTGGTGGCTCCAGGAGTGGAGGTGGAGCCTTCACCATTGGACCTTCCCTGAAAGCAGCCTGCCCCGGGAGGGAACGCTGACCTGAGCCAGCTCCACACTTGAGCTGGGCTACGCCAGGGGGAGGGGGAGGGGAGGGCCTGGCAAGTCGCGAACGGGGCCCGGCAGTGTTTGTGCCTGGAAACCACCTTGTGTTGTGGAGGGTTCAGAGAGTAACCAGCTCTGGGGACAAGAAGCCTTGGAGATGGGAAAGAACAGTGTGTGCGTGTGTGCGCGTGTGTGCGTGTGTGCGCGTGTGTGCGTGTGTGCGCGTGTGTGCGTGTGTGCGCGTGTGTGCGTGTGTGCGCGTGTGTGCGTGTGTGCGCGTGTGTGCGTGTGTGCGCGTGTGTGCGTGTGTGCGCGTGTGTGCGTGTGTGCGCGTGTGTGCGTGTGTGCGCGTGTGTGCGTGTGTGCGCGTGTGTGCGTGTGTGCGCGTGTGTGCGTGTGTGCGCGTGTGTGCGTGTGTGCGCGTGTGTGCGTGTGTGCGCGTGTGTGCGTGTGTGCGCGTGTGTGCGTGTGTGCGCGTGTGTGCGTGTGTGCGCGTGTGTGCGTGTGTGCGCGTGTGTGCGTGTGTGCGCGTGTGTGCGTGTGTGCGCGTGTGTGCGTGTGTGCGCGTGTGTGCGTGTGTGCGCGTGTGTGCGTGTGTGCGCGTGTGTGCGTGTGTGCGCGTGTGTGCGTGTGTGCGCGTGTGTGCGTGTGTGCGCGTGTGTGCGTGTGTGCGCGTGTGTGCGTGTGTGCGCGTGTGTGCGTGTGTGCGCGTGTGTGCGTGTGTGCGCGTGTGTGCGTGTGTGCGCGTGTGTGCGTGTGTGCGCGTGTGTGCGTGTGTGCGCGTGTGTGCGTGTGTGCGCGTGTGTGCGTGTGTGCGCGTGTGTGCGTGTGTGCGCGTGTGTGCGTGTGTGCGCGTGTGTGCGTGTGTGCGCGTGTGTGCGTGTGTGCGCGTGTGTGCGTGTGTGCGCGTGTGTGCGTGTGTGCGCGTGTGTGCGTGTGTGCGCGTGTGTGCGTGTGTGCGCGTGTGTGCGTGTGTGCGCGTGTGTGCGTGTGTGCGCGTGTGTGCGTGTGTGCGCGTGTGTGCGTGTGTGCGCGTGTGTGCGTGTGTGCGCGTGTGTGCGTGTGTGCGCGTGTGTGCGTGTGTGCGCGTGTGTGCGTGTGTGCGCGTGTGTGCGTGTGTGCGCGTGTGTGCGTGTGTGCGCGTGTGTGCGTGTGTGCGCGTGTGTGCGTGTGTGCGCGTGTGTGCGTGTGTGCGCGTGTGTGCGTGTGTGCGCGTGTGTGCGTGTGTGCGCGTGTGTGCGTGTGTGCGCGTGTGTGCGTGTGTGCGCGTGTGTGCGTGTGTGCGCGTGTGTGCGTGTGTGCGCGTGTGTGCGTGTGTGCGCGTGTGTGCGTGTGTGCGCGTGTGTGCGTGTGTGCGCGTGTGTGCGTGTGTGCGCGTGTGTGCGTGTGTGCGCGTGTGTGCGTGTGTGCGCGTGTGTGCGTGTGTGCGCGTGTGTGCGTGTGTGCGCGTGTGTGCGTGTGTGCGCGTGTGTGCGTGTGTGCGCGTGTGTGCGTGTGTGCGCGTGTGTGCGTGTGTGCGCGTGTGTGCGTGTGTGCGCGTGTGTGCGTGTGTGCGCGTGTGTGCGTGTGTGCGCGTGTGTGCGTGTGTGCGCGTGTGTGCGTGTGTGCGCGTGTGTGCGTGTGTGCGCGTGTGTGCGTGTGTGCGCGTGTGTGCGTGTGTGCGCGTGTGTGCGTGTGTGCGCGTGTGTGCGTGTGTGCGCGTGTGTGCGTGTGTGCGCGTGTGTGCGTGTGTGCGCGTGTGTGCGTGTGTGCGCGTGTGTGCGTGTGTGCGCGTGTGTGCGTGTGTGCGCGTGTGTGTGTGTGTGCCCCCGCTGCAGGAGACGGGCCATGTGTGCATGTGTGTTCCCCTGCTGCAGGAGACGGGCCGTGTGTGTGT